TTTCACATAGAAATGAATAAATAATAATTAATAATAATAATTACTAACATTTATATAGCACTTTTCCTGGACACTCAAAGTGCTTTACACATGGGGGGGAACATGTTTACCGAAAGCCATTTTGAAATGGAAATAATATTTCTATTTACCTTTTATAGATGATATTTGGTCAACAAGTAATACGTTTTTACTCCCTGATATGGTAAAAGAAATTAATTTCAAAATATTACACAGTACAACTACCCCTGCAATATATTTATTAATAAATTTTAAAAAGACATTTCTAAATAATGTTCTTTTTGTAACGCTAAACCTGATAGTCTTTTACATCTACTTTGTAATTGTAAATTTTCTGATGATTTTTGGAAACAGGTTTCAGGGTTGATTTTTGATTAATTTTACAAAATAATTAACTTTGACGAATGTATGATTTAAAAATATTTTATAATTCTTTGACCTCAATACAAGAAACAAGTAGGCTATAAAAACCTCTCCAGTAATGCAAAAATTTATCTATACAATCTTATAATTTAAATATGATGGATCCCCTCACATATATAATGTAATATTTTTTGTGTAATATGTGTTTTACATCACAAAGTTTTGTATGACTGTTAGATTTGTTATCAAATACCCACCCACCTCCAGTGTGCTGCATTCACCTTGATGACGCAACGGCAGCCATATTGCAGTGCAATCTGAGCTGCATCCAATGCTTTTTAATGTACTCACCTAACCCCACCCCTAACCATACCGTCACAGTGACGTCATTCACTCCATTGAGTGCATTGTGTCTCAGCGATGCAATCTCAGCTTGCATCATAAAGGCTGCATCCCGATACTACTGGCCATATTACGCCAGACCGAACACCAAACACCAGCTGAGTGGTGGAGAGGAGACAGAGGGATGAAGCCAATTATGATAAGGGGATGCAGGAGGCCATGATGGGCAGTGGCGGGGGTTAAACTCCTTCTCTTTTTCTGAGATTTTTAACGACCACAGAGAGTAGGCACCTCGATTTAACGTCTCATCCTAATGATGAGTAACTTTGAATGATTTATGTTTAATCTTGATTAATGACAGTAATTAAGGTAGTTAAAAAAAGCAAGGGTCACTGTGGTGAGATCTTTTAAAGGAATAGCTGAGTGAAGGTCAAGGCTAACATTACCCAGTGTTGAGAAGAAACAGATTTCATGTCTCACATAGAGAAATGATGATAGTGCAATACAGTGCTGCATTACAATAATGTATTGCTTATTAAACACCTTCATTTAATTCTAATTGTCTCTCCCTATTCAAAAATCATTTCATTTGTCCAGATTAAGATCCGGCTGCTTGTAAGCTCTTTAAAGATGTCCTGCATAATGTCAACACACTGATGTGAAAAGTAGCTAAGTCCTGCCCGAAAAGTAGCTAAAAGTGGCCAATTGACATTACACACTAATTTGCATATCAGTGACGTCATCGCGTAGTATCTGACAAGCGTAAGCCCATCATGTCTCTTCTCTCTGAGGCGCTGTGTATTATATTATATTACATAATTACATCTAAATGCACAATAAATAGGTTCTTATTAACATATTACTTTGCGTGATGACGTCATTGCGTAATCGCCACTCAAAACTACATCTTTATGTAGTATGCAAAATAATAATTCTCAAATAGACTATTTGTAAAAGTAATACAAACACTTTTTGAGAAAAAATTTTTTATTTTAAATATAACACTGATAATGAACCGTTACATTCTTTAAACAATCACAGGTTGTGTACAATTACTCTATTTAACTTGTGAAATTAACGCATCTGTGAAAGTAACAATTATAGCACTATTGGAATTTATTGCTTCCTAAATCACCAACAATTATACATGTAACAAATATCAGTAAATTAACAGTTATGAAAAACTATTTTGAGCTAGCAATTTACTTTACTGAGTCAAAGTCCCTTTAAGGCAAGTCATTTTACTCGGCAGCCATCTTTGAATGGGGAAATATCAAATTCTCCAAAACTACTTGCCAAGATTATGATTACATGTCATATTATGAATAACTGATACAATTATTCAACAAGTGTCTATTAAGTTTTATTTCTAAATGTTCGTATTACACAATCTGCAGAAACTCACATCTGGTTTAAGCCCCTCCCCCGAAGAATTGTCATTTGGTAGCGTTTGTTGATTGGCTCCTATACTAGAAGGCAGGCTTTATTTGCCGTATAGCGATCGCTGATTGGCTCCTGTACTAGAAAGTGGGGCTTCATTCGTCATATTGACTGTTACACTTTCCCCCATTCAAAAGTATACGAGTGACATGTCTTGTGTATTCTATAGTCTTTGACTGAGTGAAGCCTGCAGCCTCCACAATAATATCCAGCTGAAGGCCCACAGAATCACACACGTTTCAGGCACACGTTATCCGGCAAACACCCACAATTTTTTTATTATGGATTTCCCACATTAATACTATAGTAATTTATAGTAAGCAATATATTGTTTTTAAACCATAAAGTACTGGTAATTTGTTGTAATTATGTAATTATGGTTGCAACAAATTTAGCATTACAAACAAATGAACTGTTAATAATTAATAAAAAAAAAATATATATATATATATATATATATATATATATATATATATATATATATATATATATATATATATATATATATAATTAGTTTAATATACTTAATCCTACAATTAGACGGTCTGTTATGTTTTCTTTGTGTGGACACGTGAATAAAGTCATAAGTGTTTAACCAGTTATTTTTATTTACATAATTTGAGAACTGCAGAAATGTTAAAATGATTGTTACGATATAATAATTATATAATGACTGAAATGGAAACCATATTTTTGAAATCCAATAAGTGGCGTGTGCTAGATTGTGTGTGCCTGAAACATGTGTGGTGCTGCGGGTCTGCAGCTCGCAGCCACTGCTCTTTTGAGTCCCTTTTTTAAAAATGCTAAAAGTGGCCAAATGAATGTTAAAAATTGCTAAAGTTGTTACTAGGTGCTATTTGGAAAAAAAAGTTGCTAGGGTAGTATGAAAAGCTGCTAAATCCAGCAACAAAATTGCTAAATTGTTAACACTGTTCCGGAAATCACGAAGCGGGTGACCAATCATAACGCAGCTAAAATCCACGCCCCGTCTTCAGAACTATCAACCAATCACAGAGAAGCTCTTAGCCACGCCTAGTCTCTCGAGCCAACTGGGTCTCTCTCAGCTGTAAACGACGCCTTTTTACACGAAAACTGCGCCTTCATCATTTTTATCATCTCGTGCAGATTTTCAAGGCAAGCCAGTCAGACCGGAAGTACAGGCAGTTTTTCTGTCATCGCGCAGAGGGAAGCAGTCAGCGCCTAGTGAGGTCATCTGCTTCAAGGTGCACCTGAACATCGCCTGTGGTGTTAAAACGAGGTGTGTGAGACATATATCACCGATTGACTCATTGAACAATAGCGCACATTTGTCTGTTTCGATGTTATTGTTATGTTAATGTTCGTAAGGTTGTGTATGCTACCTAACGTTACCGCTGTTTTATCCGGTTGCAGGGGGTATGAGTAACAATATGCTTATAGACATGGATTATTGTTGAATACTTTATACACAAAAAATAAAACTATCACTTACAGTTCAGCATAACAGTCTATCGCTTTTAATTAAATGATTTTCAAGTCGTAGAGTGTGTTTATTTTACTTGTCCTTGTACATGTTCAGAGCAATGAGGTTCAGAGCTGTTAGCATTAGCTACGACAGTTGTAAATATGTGCTTTATTTCTCAAGATTTACGCTACATAGAAATTATTTTCTACAATTATTTTGTTACTTTCTAAACTAGTCAGATGTGTAAATGTAAAAGCTACTGCTATTCTTTGCTTTTTTACATGTAATACTAAGCTAACGTTACTGTTGATAGTCATTATTATTGTTTACACTCGTGCATGAAAATTTAGGTAAAGTTGGTTTTATGTTTTTTTTTACATTCAGACATTCTCTTTAATAATATAATTTCAGGAAAGTATTATTTGCAGATTCTAATAGGAAATTCATATTAGCAGCCAATGATTATTAGAGTACAGCATTCACAGTCAATTAAATAGTGCTACTGTTGTTTTGAAGTCGTACTTGCATGCTTATTCAGACCGAATATTCAAAGTAGCATAAGTAATGAATGGAATGAAAATTGAGGTAAAGTTGGTTTTATTTTTGCACATTCGTTCAGGGACAACTTGTGACATGGCCCCTATATTGTTTACCATAGTACTTTGAATATTCATTGAGGTAAAATTGGTTTTACATTTGCACATTCGTTCAGGGACAACTCTACGCATGGGCTGGTATAAGATTCTGACGGTATGATAACCTTGGACAAAAAATATCAGTATCACGGTATTGTGATTACTGCTCTAAAATAAGTTCTTTTAAAAGATTTTTTAAAAATCCTTTTCCCCCCAATGCACACAATATATTTCAATTTAGGAAACATCTAAAATATTTTGGAACAGTAGCTTTTGTTGTAGAGGTTCCTTTTCTGCTGGAGATACTGTTGCTCTAAAAAACTAAATAAAATAAGTCTTACACATACATACCTTAGGAATGGTATAACAGAAATTATTGGCGGTTAAATTGTGCAAACCCTGGTATACCTTGAAAACAGTTATCGTCCCATGCCTACTTGTGACATGGTCCCTATATTGTTTACCATAGTACTTTAAATATTCGGTCTAAAATCGCACGCAAGTATAACTTAAAAACATCATTAGCACTATTTAATTGACTGTGAACAACATTGTACTTTGATCGTCATTGGCTGCTTATATGATTCCACTTTTTAGAATTTGCAAATAATACTTTTTAGAAATTATATTATTTATTGTAAAGTTTGAATGTGCCATAAAACCCAACTTTACCTCAATTGCATGAAAATAACCATCGTAATGAAGAGCCAGTATTAATCCCTCTTTCTTAATAATAGTAAATAAAATGTGTTTCTTTTTACTTCACACAGTCTTAGTTTTATTTCCACTTTTTAAACTATTTTCATTTGACTCAGCATTCTTCATGGCATAGATCTGAAATGTCAAGATTAACTTGTTCAGACAAACAAAGCTTGAACAGCTTCTAAACTCAGTTGAGTTTCTCAAGGTGATTGTTATTGATTGAAATAACTCAGGCTTATTTGTGATCTTCACAGAAGTCAGATAGGATGTCTGGAGATTTGCCCTTGAATATCAACATTAAGGAACCACGATGGGACCAGGGCACATTTATGGGCCGGGCTCAGCACTTCTTCATGGTGACGGACCCCAGAAACGTGCTGCTATCCAGTGAGGTTTTAGAGGATGCCAGAGTTACTGTGGAGAACTACAGGTATGTGAACACAATCCAATACCATGCAGCGTTGGGCCGTCCAACATTCAATATAGGCGATTGCTTATGGCCCCGCGTTTCTTGGAGGGCTCCACGAACGCTGCTTTTAAAAATTTACTATGAACATAAGCATGTGATCATGGACAAACACGTGATCACTAATCATGAACAAAGGTCAATGCACAAACTCCATTAAATGTAATTCAATTCACAACGACGGTGAGAAAAAAAAACTCCACATTTGAGCAAAATGAACAGCTCTGAATAATACTTATATGACAAATAACTGAAAACAATAATAAATACACAACAACAGTGTGAATAAAAGCAGAAAATATTAGAAATATACTCAGCAGCATCATGCTCTATTTTGCATAACACTATCTGCGATCGACTATTGGGCGAACTAGAATAATGTAACGTATTTCTACACAGATTCAATATATCTCTCCAAATTGCTCAAGTTTGATAGAAACCAGAAAAAAACGTAAGTAATATAACGTCACAAGTGTCGTTGCTTTTTTCAATCGATCTTAATCAAATATTAGTTTGAAATGAAATGGCATTCAAACACATCTTTCCGGACCTGAAAAAAAGGAAGAAAAAAAAAGCAGAGGAAGAAAAGCTCCAAAGAAAACAAAACTTGCAAACTTATTTGTTTAAATATGAGTAAATATTTTTACATATGTATTAAAGGTTAAATATGTTACTGTTAATAAAAATGTACACACTTAAATTTTAGAATTGTATTTCTTTCTTCTATGATATACGGTACATGATATACTTTCTTCTACGATATACGGATATGATATACGGTACAGGATGTCGTGAATCTTGGCTTTCCTTTCCAAACTAGCTCTTAAAACAATGTAGCATAGGTTTGTTGTTTGAAATGCAATGCTAATCAATCATAACATAGGTTTAACCTTGGTCTTGGGTGTCAGCCTTGATCGTGTATTCATGCGTGAACAGCTGCAAGGTTTTGCTTTATTTCGAAGAAAAGCTATGGCGGAAAAGAATCTTTTAGATAATCTTTTAAGACAAAAAGAATTAGAAAAAATGCACTTGCTATTGTTCAGTAACAGTATGTGCTAAAAGTTGCGTTCAGTGACAAAATACCAGGAAAGTTTTCAGAAAAGCAGGTGTTTCTCCTTCCTATTAAAGAGAAGATCCTAGTTAAGATAAAAATTTATTCTTAAAGCATCTTAAACCTTAAAAGAACTCTTAAGGTCAAATGTGTTAAGAGTAGGGAGGATGGCTTTTTATAAATTACCATTTTGGCAGCACGGTGGCGCAGTGGGTAGCATGTTCAACTCGCAGCAAAAAAGGTCGCTGGTTCAAACCCGAGCTGGGCCAGTCTGCATTTCTGTGTGGAGTTTGCGTGTTCTCCCGGTGTTCGTGTGGGTTTTCTCCGGGTGCTCCGGTTTCCCCCAAGTCCAAAAACATGCAGCATAGGTGAATTGGGTAGGCTAATTTGTCCGTAGTGTATGTGTTTGAAGGAGTGTGTATGGATGTTTCCCTGTGATGGGTTGCAGCTGGAAGGGCATCCGCTGCATAAAACATATTCTGGATAAGTTGGTGGTTCATTCCACCGTGGCAACCCCAGATTAATAATGGGACTAAGCCAAAAAGAAAATGAATTAATTAATTTACAATATTAAGATATTTAACAACTTGGGAAAATACAGTGTTGATTTGGGTCTGTCAAAGACTATTCAGACAGACACTTTCAGATCCTCTTTATTGAGCTTTAGTTTATTTCATTTTCATTTATAGCATGTACCCATGTGACTACAAATAATCCAACAGTCCCACTTAAATAGATAGCAATCAGTACAATTGGGATGAGCCAAGCGATTTTTGTCTTGTTCTTGAGCCTATAAATTATGTTAAGTTAGAAATGAACTGTATTTACCACACTTTTTATCTCTAACAGTTTCATTTTTGTTTTAAATGATGTATCATGCACTTCATTATTTTGTAAAAGTTAAAGTCTGTTATGAAATACCATAACCTTCCCTGCTCACTCGAAATGACGTTTCTTCATTTCTGGTTACTTGGAATGCCTTTTAGGAGGGGCCATCGTCAGGGCGTGTATCGTTTCTGCCCTGCTATTTTTTTTAAGACAAAACTTTAACAAGAATATAAATATGACAGTAGCGGTTGTTGAAAGAATGAAGAACTGTACCAAAGGAATATGCCTCTGTAATTGAAGCTATCTCTTCTAGTATTGTTTCTTTATAGAGGTATTTCATACTCTAAGAATGCATCTTTTCTTCACCCTGCTCATACTTTCTGTGGCAAGTTTTGTTTTTCATTTAGCAACAAGAATAACAATAACAACATATGCCTACTATTCCAAAAAATAAATAAAAATAAACTGATTGGTAAAGCAAAAATATGTTATTTTTTATTGGTCTAAGTTTACTCAAAATATTGATTTTAGGCAGACCCGGCTCCAGCTACACAGATATTTGGAGTCAATTAATATAAGATTTTGAAGACAATTTTGACAAGAACATAAATATGACAGTAAATACATTTATTTTTTTATTAAATAAATTACATTTCTGTTTCTGTTCTAATCAATAACAACAATCTTAATAGTTATTAACTATTATTATTATTAATGTTATGTGCACTACTGGTTAAAGTGTGAACTAAGATTGTTTTTATTGCTCACCAAAGCTGCTTTTATTTATTCAAAATTCTTGATACTAAGTTGATTTTCTGCTCAGTTGTTAATTAATATAGGTGCACATTTGTTAAATGTTTCTTTGTATTATCAAAGCTAAAAATATGTTTAATAGGAACCATTTCCACCACTGAAGTTTCAAAACGACAAATTTATTTTTAATAACTGTTTTTTTAATCTAAAAAAAGATTCAACTGTTGTTTTTATTTAATCCTCTTTGCATAAAATATTAATCTTTTTAAAAACAGCAAACTTACACTACCATTCAAAAGTTTTGGGCATCATGGTTTCCACAAAATATTAATCACCTTCTCATTGGTCAGATAAGCAGAGCCCAGTGCCACCCTAAATTCCATTGAGTTGCTGTTTGAAAAGCTCAAACAAAAATAGAAATGCCTGAAAGCACCACCAACCTACAAATCAACCTACGAATGGCTTTTATATGTCTCTGCATCTTACACACATAACAGTGAAACTATTTTAAATCCAATATACTGTTTCCACTTTCCATTTATATCAATCTATTTTATATTCCTGTTTTGATGTTACTGTGCATGTGAATATAATGTCCTACTTCTCAGGTTAGGGGTTGTGAAGCCTGGGCTAACAGAAGATGCACTGTGGAGGGCCAAATACATCTACGACTCCGCTTTCCACCCAGACACAGGAGAGAAAATGTTGCTAGTTGGACGCATGTCTGCACAAGTGCCCATGAACATGACTATTACAGGCTGCATGCTTACCTTTTACAGGTAAGAACACTGCCACTCCTGATCATTTTATTGTTCTGGACACAATATGTGCAGAAACTCTTAAAATGTTGAATGTAAGAGGCCAGAAAAGGAAATGGAGTAAATCTTTCCATAGTCTGGAATAAATATCCCTGCTCTGTTTAGTGAATATTTCCTAAATGAGTCATCATGGAGAAGGCGGCACTCCTTCTGAGTCTGCTGGTTTCATTCAGAAGCGTTTACTTGGTTTTATGGTAGTACTTTTGCTTTTAAATATGGGACAAAAAAAGAATGCTTTAAAATTGAGGCTGGTTTCAGACTACCCTTTTTTTCTGGTTTGTGTAGTGTCATTGAGAAGGTAAAACTTGTACCTAGCATCGCTTTTTTTATGTCATTATATTTTTTAGGGGTTTTACTTTTGAGTGCAGATTACAGAAACAAAAGCATGGGGATCAGAGAGTGGGAAAGGATCAGCAAAGAACTTCAAGCTGGGAATTGAACTCAGGTCACCGTGAGCATCTCAGTGCTATATGTTGATAAACTGAACCACTAGAATAAAGATTTGAGATATTGGTAATATTATAAAGCAGGAGTTTTGTATGCATAGTTCTACAAACCTTTCCTGTATTACATATATCCAGCTATCAGCACAGATATTGTCATCTCTCTTATTTTGCTGTATTAGAGAGATGTGTAGCTCTGTATTAGAACTTCTGTTCCGAATGGTCAATGTCTTTGCAAAAAGTAGTTGAAATTTACATTACCCTTCAAACTTTGATGAATCAAAGTGTTTTCAATTGCATGATTTTAAAGCTTTTTTTTTATCTTGTATGAGGTTTTCATGAGGTGTTTTTAGCAGTTTGAAAAGGGAATATTTCACACATCCGCCATGGAAACTGCAATATTGCTAATATTCACAGCTGAAGACTGTGCTTTACTTTCAGCTTTGGAGTATATAGAAAATCTATCATTTTTACTGACTCCCAAATCATGCCTCCAAGTTATGGAATCTTAAAAAAATGATCATTCTTTGATTGATAATATTTTAATTAAATTTCACCAACTACAAAATCAGTTGTATCACATTTTTTGCTGGGTTCCAAGACATGTCGGGCTTTCAGGAAATGAGCGAGCTGATGCAACTGCTAAGGATGGTTTAAGGCAAGTATTGAACAAATGCCAAAATTCCTCCATCAGAGATGAGACCTGTTTTTCAATGTCTACATTTTAAACAAGATGAGTGGGATGCTTTGGAAAGTAATAAATTACATGAAATACAACCTGAAATTTCACACAGAATTTTAAAACATTTTAAGACTAGATCTGATCAAGTAGTTTTTACCAGATGTCATACTGGGCATACAACAATAACTCATTGTTTTTTGCGCCAAGGTAAAAACCCTACCCAGTGTTGGTACTGCACGATTCCCCTTACATTAAAACACAATTTACTGGACTGTCCTGCTGTTTTTTTATGAAATAACCTCGCTTAAGGACATTTTTAGCAAAAGCTCTTAAGGACATTTTTCTGACACCAGAAAAGATTTTAGAATTTTATCATGTATCAACACTAAAAATCGTATTTAATTTGTGTATTAATTAATTTGTTAATTTTTTTTATTGTATATTTATTATTGAAATGTTCCTGCCATGAAAATAGCCTTGGTTGCTGACATGGCATTAAATTAAAAAAATACATTACATTACATTTGTTATTTGTGCAGGCCACGTGACATGTACATTTCAAATGACAAGCAAGCAAAAATAATCCTCAAAATTATTGAAAAGAATTAAACTGTCACTGATAAAAGAGCAACAGCAAATAGAATAGAATAAAAAGAAACTATTGAATCAAGTCTGCTTATATGTTTTTAAATTCAAGTTCCAAGTAATTAGTTAACAGATGTTAAAAACCAAATGTTAAATAACACAGCATAGTCTTTATTACAGGAACTTTCTTTGTTTCTTAATAAAGTCCTACGCTCAAGAGCAGTGTGGTTTTGGAATTTTACTGTCAGCATGAGAAATATAGCCCATTGACCCTTTCACACGGATAAAGTTGCACCGTTACTAATCAATACTGGAGTATTTAACATGATACAATACTGCTTTTGGTTAGTATCGATGCGAGCTTCGCTCTCCTCTCATCAGCAGCAGTTAACACAAGCACAGTATTAAGAAAATGTATAGAATATGGATATTTTTCAATATATCGTATCGAAGTTAGAAATTCCAGTATCTTGACACTATACTCGATATTAGGTTTGTATAACATAGTTTGACAAAATTTGCTAGTATTTGACCATTTAGGCTTACAACCTAACCTAAAGTTAATGGTGAAGGCCGAAATTGAAACATAAAATGTTTTTTTAATACTTGCACAGCCGTTGGGTTATAAAGTATTAAAAATTGATAAATCAATTTAGATAACTTAAAGGCCATTTAAAAGTATTTAAAAAGTCTTTAATGCTATTTTACAAGGCATTCAATTCGGTATCAGTATGCTAAATTTTACCCGAGTTAAATTTTGAATATTGGGACGCTGTGTAGATTATGAAATAAAAAAAGTCCTGCTATATTTGACATCACGCTGCTTTGTTTACTGCACTAACCAGGGAAACACTGTTATTCCTGCTGCTGTAAAGACGTCACCTGCTGGATTAACATTTTTATTCAGTGTATATAAATACAGTCTTAGTTTAAAATTTTTGTCTTGCAATCAGTGTTTACAGAATATATTTTGCAAGTACTGATGTTTGCAGTTCTACTGGTTGAAACCTGAAGTGGTGATGAGGTCTTAAAATGTATGCAAAGAGTCTTAAAAAAGGTCTCAAAATGTGTTGAATTTCAATCTTTGATTCCTGTATATACCCTGCAATAACACTGCACGACTATAGAAGGTTGGTCTGTTCATCCAGGAATTCAGAATCCAGTTGTGAAATGTGAAAATACACTATATAACTTCTGAGAAACACCTCATACATGCCCGCTTCCAAGTATATAGCCTCATAACTTCAGCTAATGAAAGAAAAAAGGTAATATCACAATGTTTTTTTATATAGTTGTATAAACGCATCATAATAATTTTGAACAATTCTGTAATGGAAACCAAACTACTGATATAACAAATCCCATCATGGAGGACCAAAAAAATGTATGTTCCAGAACTGTGTTAATATTATGTTGTCCAAACTTGGCATAAGATTTAAAAAGTTTTCTTTGTTGGCCCATTTGCAAATGAGTCATTTTGTACAACCACCAACATGTGACTCAAATTACAAGCTTGCATGGGAGATTCATGTGCCTTAAGCGTTGTCTGTAGAAGAGTTTGTAATTTTGATGTTCCAAAATGGTAAAAGACAAGTTGCATTTCATGTATTCAGTTTTCTTTCTTCTGTTTTTAGGACCACCCCAGCAGTGGTGTTTTGGCAGTGGGTTAACCAGTCCTTCAATGCTGTTGTCAACTACACTAACCGCAGTGGAGATGCACCGATCACTGTCAAGTATGAAGGCTAAGAAAACTACTGAATGATCTAGATGCATGTTTTTATATGGAGCCCTCATGGCAACCCACGTATTGGGGGTGTAATTTGTTGTTTTATTGCACCATTTAGTGTTCTGAATGCATGGGCCACATTGCATGATGAAACCAAAAGGTGGCAGAGATCTTCATTACTGTCCATGTTTGAAATAGCTATTTATCATGTAAAATTATAACCATTCCTTTAAGATGTAGAATGTTTGCAGTGACGATGCTTGCATTTAATTTAATGTTGTTTGTTCTTGACATCATTGTTCTTCCTGTATCTAAAGGAGACTTGAGCATTCTGCAATGTCAGATCAGCAGTTAGGAGCTCCTTGAGAAATGTTAATGGTACTGCTCAATAAAGCGTTAAATCTAATATGTGCTGTTTTAACCTTTCCAGTCAGCTTGGAGCAGCATATGTCAGTGCCACCACCGGAGCAGTAGTAACAGCACTTAGCCTGAAGGCTCTCACCAAGGTCTGTCCTTACTCTATACTGTTCCTGTATTTAATAGTTAACTATAGAGTAACTATAAAACCTTTATACATTTATATAAGAATAAATAAGCTATAAAACCTATATAAAATCTGTTTAAAATATAAACATAATTGATTGTAATTAATGAATGCTTTAAGGACGGCTTTTAAATAGTTTCTAAAATATTTTGGATCTTAATTCCTTTCATATGTAACTCTGGACCTCAAAACCAGTCATATTTTTTTCTGGAAATTGAGATTTATAAATTATCTAAAAGCTGAATTAATTAAATTTTCATAGATGTATGGTTTGTTGAGACAATATTTAGCCGAGTTGCGACTAATTACAAATCTCGATTATGTAAAATCTAAAATCACTTTTATCATTGTCCAGATGAAGTGTTTAGCGATGCACATTACTAGTCTTCATTGAATAGGATCTTTTCCTAATAGGTTGTTTGCAATCACAAAGTTCTGGTGACGCGCAAAATTCAGATGGAGGGCGGGGAGTAAAAAACTGAATGGGAGACGTAGAGGAAAGTGCCTATTTTGCGATTTATACCATATTTCAAATTAGATATTATTAGAAAATAACCACATATGTTGGGCATGATCCTTGTATCTTGAAAAGGGCTGTTTTTCTAATGGGCTAAAATAAATCTTCCTGTCGTCGAAGTAGTAGCTACGGTATAAGCTATTGCGTTAGCCTGCAAGGAAAAATACTAGTGTTTGCAAGCATACCATAGATAATTAATTGAATTAAACTGTCGTGGTATATACAGTTGAAGTCAGAATTATTAGCCCCCTTGAATAATTAACCCCGTTTATTTTTTTTTTTTCAATTTCTGTTTAATGGAGAGGTGATTGTTTTTAACATATTTTTCAACATTATATCGATATCAAAAAATGGGATAGTTGAATAGTTGCTACATTAAAAAATGGCAGCAAATACCCTATATTTGAAATAAAAAATATTTTTTAATATATTTGTAAAGCATATTTACTGTCACTCAGTATAGTGCACCCAAGCCAAGTAAAAGTTTCAACCTTTTTCAGAGAAAACATCAACCTGAAAGTTAAAGTTTAATTTCTGATGAAGGTTAAATGTTTGTATCTTTATTAGCCTATGCTAAAATTGGTTTACATATCTTAGGTTTATTCGTTGACCATGTGGGTTTAGTAGCTGTGTCAATACCTTTGTCTTAAATGCTATTTTTAAAATGTTTGGAAAGTTTATAGCAGTAGTGACTCAATGTCTTATCTCTTCTCAGCACTTGCCAGCTATTATCAGCCGTTTTGTTCCATTTGCTGCAGTGGCAGCAGCAAACTGTATTAACATCCCCTTCATGAGACAAAGGTAAGAGAAAAAGACCAGCTTTAATGTTACGTGTACATGAAATGGAACATGAGTTATTGGGCTTTAAATGTTGAATCAAACTTTTAATACATAATTCTCAAAATCACAACAGAGAGCTGAAGTGTGGAATTCCTGTTACTGATGCTGAGGGAAAACGTCTCGGAGAATCAACTAATGCTGCTCAGCAAGCCATCGTACAGGTGGTGGTGTCTCGAATTGGCATGGCAGTGCCAGCCATGGGTAAGCTTTAGTGAGCTATTACCTATTCCAGAATTGCAGTATATATTTCAGCATTTTCCATTCAATTTCCTTAAACTGGAAAAACTTTGATTAAACTGAATCCATTTTTAATGTAAAATGCTTAATTGTGACAGGGAACCTTTTATTCTGTTACTAAATGTTTAAATTACTGCTCATGGTAAAAGATGCACCCCTCTTGTGCCCCAAAGTCACCCCATTGACTTAGAATGGGGATGGGATGTCCCATTTAAGTCCATACGCTTATTTCACGCGGCTGCCATTTTTAAAACATGAAAGCGATGCCCCGGTGGAAAGAAACCCGAAAGTATAGGATCAGCACTATAAACAACATGCTGTGGTCTATAAACCTCCAGCTGTTGCTGCAATTTAGAATTGCAGATATGGTGTAAACATCACTTAAATATCATTCAGTTCAGTTTCATTTAAACAATTAAAAGCTTATTAGGCATCAAACAACATCACAATCTCTTTAGGAGTATCCTCCTAGGCTTCCGTTTATACAGATCACGGTTCTCTCACTATTCTGTAGATGTAAAATAAAGGTTTATATAAGTCAGCAATTATTACGATTTTTTTCGAACATATGTTAAAACAACAATAATAAAATTATGTGTAGGTCTACTGGTTTTTATAAATAATTATATTCTACTTATAATAATTCTGATGTTGAATTATGTTTGAGATATATGCTTGCAACCATTGACAACATTATTAGACCACTTAATTCACTGGTAAAATCAACATTATATAGGCTAGAGTAGTTATACTGACACTGTAAATATTTATTTTCATGCACAACTCTGTGTTCGCTGTGAAAGAAAAAAACATCAAATGTTTGTCTCAGTCATAACTCTAAAATGCGATATGATTATTTAAATGATGTGCACGCTTTCAGTTTCATTTTCACTACTAAGTTCTGTTCATACTTCACGCGCGACACCCAAACGATCACTCTGTGCCACAAACTCAATATTGTTTACAACTTTATTATCTGTTACTCTCAGCAGGTTCTGTTCACTAAAGGAGACGCACGCTTGTCTATCATTAAGTAGGGCGCGCGCCCACACTACAGTGTGTGATTTCCCGGCCACAAATACAGCATTATATGAAGACAAAAATGACATTTTTAGGTGAATTACACCTTATAAATACAGTTTGTGACTCTTTCAACATCAATTGAGGTGTCCATGTCACAGAGCAATGTATGTGAAACAATGAAAAGAGTCGTGCAGCTGCCTTTGCTTCTCCCCTGAACTTGAAAATATGATTGGCAGAATTGTAGAAATGCTGGATTAAGATTGTCTAGTGGGTCAAATCGAGATTGCGATCTTTTTACAATTAATTGTGCAGCTCTAGTTGCTTTATATATTTTATATTGTCAAACAGCCTTTCATATCATCATTAACAGCTGTCAAGTCACTCTAGCAACCATTTTGAGCACCCTAGCAACTTCTCCCATAAACTGTTATTGTAAATATGAAATTATGAATTCACCTCTTTTTATTATTTTTTTTTCTCAAACAGCTATTCCCCCCGTTATCATGAATGCCTTAGAGAAGAAAGCCTTCCTGAAAGTAAGTCATCTCAGAACATAATCTGAATCTCTAATCTAATCTGCATTGTGGATGCGTTTTTAAACTGCAGCGTTTCTGTCCACATCTCAGCGGTTCCCAGTTCTGAATGCCCCTTTACAAGTTGGACTTGTTGGATTCTGGTGAGTTTAAGGCAGTGTTTGTTCACTCTCTGTTCTGTTTAAAACAGCGCATGATTGACTTATTTTAAATCTCCACAGTCTGGTGTTTGCCACTCCGCTGTGCTGTGCTCTGTTCCCACAGAAGAGGTGAGTGCTACTAACAGAAATGAATTATTCCCATAGTTTGATTCTCGTCATGCTGAATTGCCTCTTCTTTCTGTCTCTATGAAGTTCTATGAAGGTGAGCAGTCTGGAGCCGGAGCTTCAAGAGAGCATACGACAAAGCAATCCTCACATCAGCACTGTTTTTTTCAACAAGGGTCTGTAGAAAGCTCTAGGCTGAAGCCCATGCTGATGTCCTCCATTGCACTGGAGATTAGTGGGCACGACTTGAAGGATAGAACATATTTATTTTTGTTTTTCTGCTCCGAGTTTTGTCAGTTTTACCCATGTTATCGTACCATCCTAAAGGGTTATATGTACAGTGAAGGCTAGAACCTGCTGCTGAATTTAGTTAAAGATGCTTGAATGTTATCTGCTGCATTGATGCTTCTCACCCTAATCTTGTGTTAACAGCACTCGCATATAGACTCATTTATCAGTATATTCATTACTTTGATTCAGTTTAGACTATCATATGTATATTGTTTTATCCATTAGATTCACTAGTGTTGTTTAGAACTTTCCAGATTGTTTCCAACTCTACTCCTACAGTGAATACAGTTACAGAAATCAGGTGTATTCTGACATGAGTGTTTCCACCTTTCGTGCTCCATTATGTGCCTATTAAAAGGGTAGATCATCCAGAAATTAATATTTGCTGTTAGTTTACTCAGACCATCAAGGAACTGGATTTTTTCAAGCTAAAACCATGGTCCTTGGTGATAAAATTCAAGTTAAACGGAGAGTTCACTCAAAAAATGACAATTCTGCCATCATCTACTCTTTTACTTGACTTCTTCTAAACCAGTTTGAGTTTTTTTCTGCTGAATTCAAAAGAAGATATGTTGGAAATCTGTCACCATTGACTTCTGTAGTATATGTTTTTCCTATTATTGATGTCAATAGTTACATGTGTTTAATTTTTTCACAATATCATAATTTGTGTTCAACAGAACCAAAAAAAAGTCAAGGGTGAGTAAATAATGGATTTTTGCTGGTGAACTGTCCCTTTAAAGGTTATCAGCACTTTTGAGTGTCAAACACATTTAGGCAACACAAAATTAATGCCCATGCTTCCTTCTGATGATGCATTAAGTCTTACGAATTCTCAATCTATGCAAAAAAACTGATCACTAAAACTCTGACAGTGCCTTTATATGGAGTCAATCTAGGGCAATATATACTTGCAAAATAAAAGAAAGTTTGGAAACACTTTATAATAACTACACACTATGAATCATTTGCTAAGCATGAGCAAATAGTAAATTCATTATTAAGCATTAACTCTACATTAATAAACGTTATTAAGCAGTTTATAACTGCAGCTATAAATGCTCTTGACTTACAACCACATTTATAATGTGCTTAATGATTGTACTTTCATTATTTGTTAATGATTTATTTTTCATTATTTACAAACCAGTTATTTAAGCAAAGTTGGTGTTTTTTTAATTCAGAATGAATTAGTAAATGATTAATAAACTATTGATGTCAACATTCATATATCTTATTAATCAGGCATATAGTAATAGTTAATTTTTTTGTTCATAAATGCTTCATTAACTCAACTTCATGCAGTTTTGTGACCTAATCTAAGGTGAGGACTATTTATGCTCCTATAAATTCCTCATAAATGACAATTAAAGGCCCAGTTAAATTATAAACAGTAAAAAAAGGACATAAACGACTATTAATTTCTATTCATTTGAAGATACACTAATGAAACTGCATCAAATGAAAAGTAAATCTGTGCAACCCGATCTAAAATAAAATCACTGTACTGTTTAGACATTGTATCCTATTATATTGTTGTTTTAACAAATTTTGTTCCATTTTGACACTCCTGCTATTCAGCAATTGTTTAAACTTTACAGTCATTTTACTTTTTAGATAAGATCATCGTTCATTTGATACTGAGCCTTTAATTGTCATTTATCAGGGATTTATAAAGCATAAATAGTCCTCATGTTAGATTATATCACAAAACTGGATGAAGTTAATAAAGCGTTGATTAACATTTTTTGTAACCATTACTATGTGCCTGAATAATAAGATGTATAAACTTTGATTTGAATAGTTTATTAATCATTTACTAACTCATTCTGAATGATCTTAATAACCTCCAACTACTCTTAAATACAAGTGGTTTGTAAATAGTGTGATAATTTAGTAATCCACCAGCCACAAATTATGACAACAAACATTAAGCACATTATAAGTGTGGTCATAAATCATGAATAGAGCATTAGTGCCTGCAGTTATAAACTGCTTACTAATGTTTGTTAATGTAGAGTTAATGCTTAACAAATAATGAATTCACTCATGCTGTTAATGCTTCATAAATGATTCATAGTGTGTAGTTATTATAAAGTGTTACCGAAAGTTTTACAAACAAAAAACAAAGTATTGAGCAAAAAATAATTAAATGCAAATATCCAAAAATCACGATTCAAAAAATTGAGAAATTAAATTGGACATTTTTGAGAAATTAAAATGTATTTTGCTTACAAAAAATGAAGAACTGCAAAGGTAAAATTAAGTTTTGAGGAATAAATATTGTAAAAACATTTTTAATCAAGCAGTGCAAAAAAAACTAAAATATTTGCAAAAAAAAAATAATATATATATATATATATATATATATATATATATATATATATATATATATGCAAAAAAATGTATAGCATTTCTTTTACAACACAGGTGTCAAACTCAGTTCCAAAAGGGCCGCAGCTCTGCAAAGTTTAGTTCCAATCCTAATTAAACACACCTGATCAAACTAATTAAGTCCTTCAGGCTTGTTTGAAACCTACAGGTAAATGTGTTGGAGCAGGGTTGGAACTAAACTGTGCAGGGCTTCGGCCCTCCAGGAATTGAGTTTGACACCCCTGTTTTACAAAAACCCGTCTAGTCAATTGCAACTACTGCACCTACTGGGCTGTAAGACCCACCTCAGTGATACTGTGTCTCCAGGTGATGATGTTGTTTAAATGAAGGCAAGTCCAGGCCTGCCGTAAACACCGTAGTTTCTTTGACTCCGCCCCCTTGACAAATCAGGACCACAAAGTGAAAACAAACTTACCGCTGACTAAAAAACTAATCAAAATGACCATTGCAATTGACTAGACACGTTTTAGTTTTTTTATTTATTATTATTATTATTATTATTATTACAATTTTTTCTGTTCTTTTTATTTCTCAAAACTTAATTTTCCCTTTGGAGTCCTTTATTTTTATTATCAAAATAATTTTTTTAATTGCATTTTTTATTTTATTTTTTTTGCATTTACTTCTTTTTTGCTCAATACTTTTTGTGTGTGTGTGTGCAAAACTTTTATTTTATTTTGCAAGTACATATGGCCCTAGATTGACTCCACACCGTTAACCTTTGTCCTGCATTTTTAAATTACCACGGTTTTGGCTTAAAATATTTAATGTTTTTCAGAAGCAAAAGGAAAAGTTCATGAAATCTCAGATGGACTATGAGTGAGTAAACAAACAGCAGCTTTTCATTTTTAGGTGAACCATCCCTTTAAATGCAGCAAATATAGTGTGTGTTTCTATCTGTACTACAAAGATGAAACACACTGTCAAATGCTAATTATTAAGTTACTCTAATATTAGGGGGCTTTAAATCTTTCCTTCCTAAAGGCCATCTTTCACTACTTCCGTTAAACCTTATAGAGCAGTGTGGTTGAAGTCATAGCGTAAATAGTGTGTCTCTGAGATGTTAAGATGTCATTTAAGAGTGGTGAATAGGTAATGTCTATTTGAATATTTAAGATTATTGGCAGTACAGAAGCACTACATATCTCAGGCAGCAAGAGCAAATTATACTGACCAGAGTTCATCAGTTATGCTTATTTGAGTGGCTTCATGTGGCTTGATTTGATCATACATTACATTTCAGATGTTAACAGTGTTGGGAACAACAATCCGGTTTATTAATTGTTGTCAGTAGTGTTTGTAGTGATATAACCTAACAATGTTAAGCTCTCTAATGGGCTCTGGTTGTTACTCGAGCGCATACGAACAAACTTCTATTCCCTGACATTTTGTGCTATTGTTATCGTGTAGTTTCCGTTGTATGGTTTGTATCGTTTCTGTGGATGAAGTTAAAAAACTCTTACAGTGTTTCTTTGCCATCAGAGTCTCACAACTGTAGTTTTTGAGAAAAAGCATATTAACTTGTTATTCTCAATATGTCCTCTGATAGGTGGAAGATACTTCTTGTGTTAAGCACTCCATGTAGACATATATTTAGCCTGAATATCCTATGTAAGCACATTGTTACACTATTGTTGTAAGACGTACCCCAGTGAAAGGCATGTGCTTTCTTTTTAATGCACAAGTACCCTGTTACTATGATGATGAGACACTTAGAATAGATAGAAGTAACTGTTGGATGTGTTATGCAAATATGACTATATGATTGTGATCTATATAAAACTGGTTACACCAAATATCACAGACCTTTTAAAACCCCTTTTGTCAAGAATGATTCTTGCACTAATGCACAGTGTACCAGCTAAAGTTGAATGCGTAATGCACACCAACATAACATACTGTGTTACAGATGCTCAAAGTAATAAATGCAAACTTGAACCAGGATGTTGTTTAATAATGTCCAGTAGAGCCATTCTATCCCTAACCCAACTGTCTAACATTTTACTGGCTGTACACCAAATTATGTAGCATAGTGGTGATTTTTGATTGTACAACTGCACTTGATCACTGAAAATATCTAATTGAGCGCTCTTATAAACTCTTTTTGTGAACGTAATTGAAATTATAGGTGTACACATGAAAGATTGTTTATTGTAATGGATTTCTATCAATCAATCACATTAACCATGATCATTTGGACACCAAATTGGCATGTTACACGAATGAGACCTTGCTAAAATTAATGATTTTGAATTTAGAGCACATATTTATTGAAGCCAGAAAGTTGAGGCAAAAGCAAGCACAATAAATGTGTGAAACTTGCACTCCTGAAAGACCCACTTTAGCACAATTCTAATATAGATATTATTGGTGCTTATTGTGTATTTTATTTTTCCAGCATTTTATATTGTATTGTTACATCCTTGTGTGTTTTTGATCCGGAACTATGTAATAAAGATATTAAACTCTTGTCATAAGACTATTTTTGTCTGCTGTAGAATTTCCTTGTCCAAATTTGAACAATATCAGACATTTTTCAACCCAGAAAGCAAACTGAACTTACAGAAGCTTACACTTTCACACTAATCCTGAACTCTGGATTGATTAAACCTAAAATAGTTTACTAAAAGCATGACAGTGATGTCCTGAGATTAAGTTCTGTAAACTCTGATTGTGTTCACCTTTAACACAAAAGACAGCAGAAACAAAATGCTGAAACACTGAATCACTATGGAAACCAATGCAAAAAGCAGTTTGGCACACTTTTCTTTCTGAATCACATGGTGGGTTAAATTCTAAGTGCTTATTTCTCCCTTTGGTTAGTTGTGCATTATTTTGTAATCTTACACTTAAATATTTTTTATTTTTATCAGTTGTGCTAAAACTATTGATAAAAAAAAAACATTCTTGCCTTAGGGCAATGTTGAGATGTATATTGAGCAGGGGTCCCTCCAGGACTGAGTTTGCCGACACCCGATATAGAGCAACTATGATGTATATAATAGTTTGTTTTTCTTCCACGTTTGTTAAAAGCAGAAATATTAGTGAGGTGAGACCAGCAGGGGGCGTTCAACCTGCGGTCTTTGTGGGTCCAAATGCCCCACTGTATTGATAGTACTACTCTATACTGCTTAGTGAGTGTTGTCTTTCAGATGAGACGTTACAGAGGTTCTGACTGGCTCCTGTTTTTCCCACAGTACAAAGACATGCGCTATAGGTGAACCGAGTGAGCTAAAATTGTCCTTAGTATATGTGTGTGTGAATTAGTGTGTATGGGCGTTTCCCAGTGATGAGTTGCAGCTGGAAAGACATCCGCTGCGTAAAACATTCTGGATAAGTTGGTGGTTCATTCCGCTGTGGCGACCCCAGATTAATAATTAAGAAACTAAGCTGAAAAGAAAATTAATGAATGAAGGAAAATCTTGTGTACACAAAAAGCCTATTTCTCTCGAATATTGATTATCTTCTTTGCAGAGATAATCCATCCACCTCACAGGTGTAGCAAATCAAGATGCTAATTAGATAGCTTGATTACTGCACAGGTGTGCTTTAGACAGGCCAATCTAAAATGTGCAGTTTTATCACACAGCACCATTCAGATGGTAAGTTTTAGCATGCTGACTGCAGGAATGTTCACCTCTCTACTATAAGTCCAACAAAAAGGTGTTTCAGAGAATTTGGTAGTAAATTCAACAAGCATCACAAACGTAGACCATGTGTAACCACAACAGCTCAGAACCTTCAAGATTGTCTGAGACCTGCTGCCATACAATCAAAGAATGTCAGAAAACATCCAAGAAAAGTTCATCTATATGCTTGCCATCCTCATCAGGGATGACTCACTGCAGTTCATCTTTGTAGTGGGCATACACTCACATTTGATGGGTTCTGGCAATTTTGGAGAGATGATCTTTTCACGGATCTTGATTCAAGCTTTGGACAGAATCACATCTCTGCAGTTTAACCTCATCCCCAAGTAAATATGCCTAATCAAATTTAAACTTTCAGTCTTTCAGGCTTGTTTGAAACTTACATGCAAGTGTGTTGAAGCAGGGTTGGAACTTAACTGTAGAGCTGCTGCCATTCAGGAATTTAGTTTGGCATCCTGATTTACATTGTAGTCTTTAGTTTGTTTAAACTGAACAGGTGAAGTGAATATTATTGATCATCTCTTTACGGGCCAAATTTTAATCTCTTATATTCAGCATATCAGGCAACAGGGTGCTTTTCTTTGCCTTTGTGTTGTTTTGTATGCATTTTAAAGACTTAAGGCACTTATGATAACATTTTAGCAAATTCTGCTAATAGAGAAAGTCATCTGGGCCCGGTTTTTCAAAAGGTTTAGTCCGGATAAAATTGATCCGGATTTAGTAATCCTGTTTTTGCGATCCGTGATCACGTAATCCAGCTTACTTTTTGAGCCAGTTTTTCAAAGCAACATTGGATTGGATCAATTTGATCCAGATAGGAACTTTTCAGGATCACTAAATCTGGATTACCAGTGCTCAATCACAATGTAGATGGATAGATAGACCTATGTAAAGAGCAACAAGTAGAATAGCCAGTGTGGGGTCAATATAACTTTATTTTTATTTGAAATGAAAACTAATAACATTTTATAAATGATAAAATAATTGTAATGATAAATAATAAAAGCAAGAAAAAACCCACCCCATCCTCTTCCAGCAGTCCACTCATCTGAGATCTACAACACTGTACATTGAGGATATTTATAATAAGTTTTAAATATAGATGCATTGAATAAAAAAAAGACAATGTTGAAACCTCCACAATAATGTCAGACTTCCTCATCTGATGTGGAGGGAGCAGCTTGTCTGAGCGTATTCTTTACGAGGCAGATCTCAAGTGTGGTCTTGGTTTGTTGCAGTTTGGTCAGAGTCAGTTGTTCCTTTGCCAGATGAAGCTGAACTTCTGCCCAGTCTCTTTTTACAATTGTATACAAATATAGTAACAGAATAAAATGTATTGTTTTTGGTAAATTTTGACAGCTGTTTGGGGGATTACTTTTTGAGGCCAAACTCTTTCTATTTTGCTGTAGGCCTATATTGAAAGTCTAAATACGTTAAAGCCAATAATCACTATAGCCTGACAGATGAACAAATAAAATTAAAACCTTATAAATAAATAGTATATCTCGTAAGATACTGCATGATCCAAATATAGTTTTATTTAATTATTTTTTTTAAGTTTTCATTCCATTTTGGGCATGAAATCCACACTAAATCCACCCTTCTGATGGGATCAGTTTAATCCAGGTTTTTTGGATCAAAGTGATCCAGATCCTACAAAAAAGGTCTGAAAAACCCAAACTAAAGGTTTGATCCGGATCAAAACCAAGATTGGATTACGTGATCTAATCCGATTATGTAATCCATTTTTTCTTTTGAAAAACCCATTTTCAGGAATTGATCCAATCCCTTATCCAAAATCCTAGTGGATTACTTTTGAAAAACCGGGCCCTGGAGGTTATTTCTGAATGTAGGTTATGTGACAAACTGATAGGTTTAAGGATATCTAATCAGGTAACCTCAGCTTTACATGTGTTCCTAATATATTTTACAATTCTCTATATAAAGAGAATAAATTTAAAGCGCTTTTCTGGACACTCAAACTCCGGAATCTGAAATCTCCTTATCCACCACCAGTGTGCAGCACGCACCTGGATGACGTGACAGCAGCCATATTGCACCAGACTGCACACCACACACCGGCCGATTAATGGAGCCCCCATTAAATATTACCATTTTTCACAGGTATAAACATTAACACACAAACATGCAATCACGCACACACACATAAAAAACACGATTTTAGGGATGACATGTTTATTGAATATTGTGTCCACCCACAGCTGAACCTTTGCCTGCTCACTGACCAAAGCCAGCAGGTATATAAGCATGTGTTGACATCAAATCTGCTCTTTCTACACTGAGTTTGGAGTCAGACTATCATTAATACACACACCACTGATGTGGCAGCAGGCAGCCAAAGGAACACACTCAGGTGATAAGCAACATTAAAATGATTTCTTACACATCGTTTCTAAAGTGCAAAAACAATGCTACTTAATTTCACAATATTTGTCTTAATTTGTCGAACTAAAAGCACCTGAATTAAAAATGAGGCCATATGCAACTCTATGGCTTTGTCAACTAGCTCTGTCAGTTCCAAACAATTAAATAACCCTGAGCTTTTCTCTCAATTCACAGCATTAGCAGGAGAAATGAAGTGTGATGAGGTGGACTGTGATTTAGTGAGATCTTTCCTATTTAAAACTATTTTGAACAACCTTGGCTACAACTATCAAACCTAGACAGCATTTACTTTTCTACCACAACTTTCTTTGCAGCTTCCAAAACAGACTCCAAGCTGACTTTATCTCCAAACTCCTTCTCTCTGTGCTCTAGAAGAACCCCCTGAAAGTGACAAACACAAGACACATGAGGACGAGCAAATGGCTGTAGCTTGGAGTTGGTTTGTAATGACATTATGAAATTGAATAGATTACCTGTCCGCCAGATCCCATGACAAAAACTCCTCCCAGAATGAAGCCTTCTCCGTTCATGTTGCCCTGGTAACCCGCTCTCCAGGCCCTTACAAAGTTTTGCCAAACTCCCAAACGAATGAAACCAAGCCCCCCCATCTTCCTCTGCTGTGGTCCATAAAATGCTTGCTGTTTAAAGACACGTCAGGACAAGCAAATTAGAGAAGCAAAGTCTGATACGCAGAGAATGATGAATTCAAGCAACAATCAACATGTTGTTACCATGTCGAACATAAATTTGCATGTTTGTAACATGAATTAGCATGTTAGCTTGTTTCTAGCATGAATTGGTATATTCTAGAAATAATTCAGGTTGTAATTATCATGTTGCAAATATAAATAAGCTAGTTGTTAGCATGAACTAGCGTGTTGTTAATCTGTTTCTATTGAGGATTAATGTTAACGTGTTTTTAACATGAAATGATCACATGTTGTTAGCATAAACCAGCATGTTGTGACCAAGAAATGCCATTTTGAAAGTCTCACACATTCATTGTATTTCAACCAGTAAACAAGCATGTTAGTATTAACAGTTTGTTAGCATATTTCTAGCAACAATCAACATGCTGTTACCATTTCGAACAAAAATGTGCAAGTTTATAACGTGAATTAGCATGTTAGCTTGTTTCTAGCATGAATAAGCATGTTTCTAGGGTGAATGTACATGTTTCTATCTTGATGTAAATATCATGTTGCAAATATAAATTAGCTAGTTGTTAACATGAACTAGCGTGTTGGTAAGTTTCTAGAGAGAATTAAAATGTTAGGCGACAGGAAGTGCTATCGCCTCAAAGCAAGAAGGTCGCTGGTTCGAGCCTCGGCTGGGTCAGTTGGCGTTTCTGTGTTGAGTTTGCATGTTCTCCCTGCGTTCGTGTGGGTTTCCTCCAGGTGATGCCGTTTCCCCCACAGTCCAAAGACATGCAGTATAGGTGAATTGGGTAAGCTAAATTGTCTGTAGTGTATGAGTGTGAATGAATGTGTATGGATGTTTCCCAGAGATGGGTTGCGGCTGGAAGGGCATCCGCTGTATAAAAACGTGCTGGATAAATTTTGCCGGTACATTCTGCTGTAGCAACCCCGGATTTATAAAGGCACTAAGCCGAAAAGAAAATGAATGAAAATGTTAACTAGTTTCTGACATGAAATGATAACATGTTAGCGTAAACCAACATGTTGCTACCAAGAAATACCATTTTGAACTAGCATGTTGTTAATCTGTTTGTTTCTAGTGAGGATTAATGTTAATGTGTTTCTAACATGAAATAACATGTTGCTTCCATAAAATACCACTTTTCTTTGTTTGTAGTATGAATTAACATTGTTAACATAAATTAGCACATTTCAAACTAGAAAGCTAGCATGTTAACATGTGGCTTATATTAATTAAAATGTTCCTAGGATGTTAGTTGGCATGTTGCTGGCATGCAAGAATCACCAAATTATGTTTATTCTAGCTTTTTTGACACAATGTTAATTTGTGGATAATTTAACTTACCAAGTAAAATAGTGTTTACAAACCTTTTCATCCAAGAAGATCTCCCCAGCGAAGTGAGGCCTGAAGTCCTGAATCTCTGTACCCACATTCTCCTTCACAACAGCATACAGAGGGACACCGAGCTCATCCAGCTGGGGCTTCAGAGAGGACAGCTCAGAGGCCTCCTGCACATACACAACCACAGAACCACACACTAATGCATTTAACATTCAGACTAATGTCATTTTCACAACTGATGGTGTTTATGCCATTATCAGCCCTGTAGATATCGAGATTTTCCCATCATTATGAAGGGTGTTACAGCATGGTTTGGACTACTTTCACACCACAAGTGTGTTTAATTCTACCTGACACCATCTCACTTATGAACCAATCCCAGACCTATTGTTTACATATCATCTTTGCATTAAATCACAAAAAGAAATTGCCTTTTATGCAAAGTGTTTCTAATGCAGGGTCTATAGGCAGGACAGTAAATTTGATATTGTTCTCTCTTTTGGCTATCAGTCTCATGCTATTTTTTTCCTTTTTCTGAAAGTCTTGATACCACTATCTTTGAGTCTTTCTTTTATTATATGAGCAAAGAGGAATGCAAAAACTTCCACTGCTGATAAAGCCCAGCAAGAGCCCACTAAGGGGAAAAAAGTCAGGTTGTGAAACAAGTCCACTGAAAAACTATAAATGTAAGAATGTAACAATTAACTGTGTGCCTGTTGAAACTTTGATTCAAATATGTGGATTAAATATAAAATGCTTGTTTTGTTAAAGATAATCAAAAAGCAATGTTAACATTCTCACATGAGAAAAACTTACAGTATATTAAACTGGAGTAATATGAAGAGATGTTCCTATCTATCAGCTATCGTGAATTGCGATAAATGTTTTGAAAAGCAGGGAACATTGCATTTATTGCAAACTTGCTTAACATGCACAATACTGCCAAACAACTTGTAGAAGATGGAGAAGATGAGTGTGGATGTTGATATTGAGAAAACTATCTTTAATCGAACTGCTGGCCCTTGGAAGCCAAGCATCTGGCCCGAGTCAATACATTAGCCACGTTTCCACCATTGTGCCTAAAGCGAGAAAACAAAACACAAAAGAAAAAACATATAGCTGGCCAGTTTAAGATAGGCTATTCCATAAACACCTTATAGGCTAGAGGTCTTTTTGCTTATGATCGCCCTAATGTTTCCTTTTTGAAATGTAAGTCTGTTGCATAAAATAATAAAGTAGTTTTAATTTAATAAGTAATATTTCTTTGCTGCGTCCTCCTTGATGTTTTAATGACGCATAATAATCTTTACACCATATTAAAGACACAGCAGTGAGTGTGACTGAGAGACCAGTCGAAAAAGCGCTCACTTCACAGCTCTGTTGATGCCGCGAGCGGCTTGGTTTCTTTCTTTCTTTATTCATTTATTTATTTTGGAGATAATAGAAAATATGAATACAACAGAACGACATAAAACTTTACAAAGTACTTGTCCACTTTTGTAGGCTCAAAACAATAGTGTCATATAAATAAAATAGCCTAAGCTGTATTGAAATCATTTAAAGAACTACAAAAATGTCAGATATAATAAAATCACATTAAATAAATAAACCAATATAAAACAAACAAAAGCTATACAACTTAGATATATACAATACAAATAAATTAAACCCTTTCAAGTAATTTTAAACTTTCATTTTACAAAGGCCTTTCTGAAAAAAATTTAGATATTTTCAGAAAAAAAATCTATAAACAACAGAGGAGTTTTTAAATATTTTTTTATAAAGTATTTGGATGCAATGATATTAATCATAATTTTTTGGGGGAGAGTGAAACCATCCGAAACTACCTTCTTTTCTGTCAATAAGTCCAGCGCAGTGCTGCTTTATAAACAGATTGGGAAAAACTGCACGTAAAAAATGTGTTTTATGCCCTTAAACAAGTGTTTATGTTTTTAAATGACGTGGTAAAAACTACAAATTTTATTTTAAATGTTGAGCTTTATTAGTGGATAGCTGCTGAGTACAACGATATATAGGCTATAGCCTATATTTTAGATTAGATTAGTTTCAACTTTATTGTCATTACACATGTACAAGTACAATGCAACGAAATGCAGTTTAGGTCTAACCAGCAGTGCAATAGCAGCAAGTGCAGGATACAGGAATAAGTTATAAAGTGCAGTTATAGAAAACTATGGTGATATTTACAGATGGATGTACTATGAACATTATATACAGGTTGGATAAGCTATGAACAGATTTACAACATACAAATTATTACTTGCTCTTATGTCCTTAAACACTTAACGGTTCCCTTTAATTAAAATAACCGAATAATATACAACATCCTAAAATTTATTCTCTTTAATAAAGGAGAATTACCTATTAAGTGTCATATAGCCTAGGGAAAATTTTACATGTTTTAGGTCTTTCTGGAGCATTTGGGCTGAATGTCTGATGGTGTCTACAACAAGGATGTTATAAAATACATTTTAAATGCGACGCATGCTGCTTTCTTTACAGATTTAAGCGTGTTTGTGAGCTTAAAATCCTCTGAAGTTAGTCACTATGCCCACCGTCAAATGATCCTAAACACATGCCGTGGTCAAGCTTCAAAATAGTTCAGCTTTTGCTGCTGTGTGGATTAATACTGAATGTGTGTGATGGTTAAGGACAGAGCAATATGCAGGTGTTTAACTGTATTGCTTTAATGCACTCCTGCATTAGGCTCACACATACACTCTGCACTCTGAATACTTCAAAATTGTTGATATGCATGGTGGACACTTTTCTCACGCTGAACGCATCAAAAAATCGCAGCAGACTGGGTCAACGGACCAATCAGCACAGATAAGCATCGCATCAAGGAGGGGATTGGGAACAAATGAATCGCTGAACAAGTCATATTGGAATCGTTGAGATAATTCTGTAAAAATAAATGCATATTATAAAACAACGAAAGTGTTTTTTTTTTCTTTTCTTGCATGCATTTCAACATACTGTTGGAGACCCCCAAAACCAAAATATGACCTTTTTGTAATGCAGAATAAGGGCTTTTTAGCCAAAACTGTGCTAATACTCTGCTCTTACAAGTAGAATGTGCAATCAACGAAGATTGACCACCGGGCTGGTCAAATTTAGCCAGGAATCCTCCAACACTAAATTGGCAAGTGTTTCAGTTTAATTGTCCAATCCCTGTTTATTTTGGTGGGTTGAGGAGGGAATTTCCCACATAAGTGTCAGAAAACTTGCCTGAAAACATGGATATGGTGATGTTTCTTTATAAATATTTTATAAAAATTAAAGTAGTCTCTTTCAAATAAAAAAGAGTATTATGACCACTTACCTCTCTGCACAAAAATCATCCAGGTCGCCGGACAGCCATAATCACTGCACCTGACTTCTCCCAAAGAGCTTTTGCTTTTAAAGACCTCTCATCTGAATGGATTTAGATGGAAAAACAGTGCAGGCTTACCATGATGGCTGAATGGAAATTGTACAAAATGATTTAAAAATCCCAAGGATCACTTCCACGGGATTTCAGATAATTTCTTACCACCGTCAATGGTTTTGAGGTCAGCGTTCGCAAGATAGTCTACAGTAGCAGGTGCAGATTTAGTCAGCAGGAAGTCAGTGTTTGCAAGTATTAAGCCAGCAATAGCGGCACCTACTGCCCCAAGGCCAAGTGACCACATGCCCATGGCTAGCGTCTCACCCTCCAGGACAGATGATGCTGAAATGAACAAATATGGTAGATTAAATCAAACAGTACAGTAAAATGCTCTAGTCTTTTCATGAGCTTTCTTTGCATAAACAACCGCTTAATTTTGTACTGAAGACAAGCATGTAATTTCTATAACCCCAAGACATGCTGGGGCAAGAGCAGTACCTTTTTTGTGACTAAAAGAAGGCTTGCCATTCTGGCTTTCGCTTGAAAAGTGCCGATTTGTTGGAAAAGCTTGAAAGAATAGCGAGTTGACAGCAGTGGGGAGCGCTAATGTCTTGACTGCCAGTCGCCATGTTGAGATGGTCAATGGAAGATGTTTTGGAGGAATGTTATAAGCTTTAACTGTCTTATAAGAAGCTAAAGGCCGGGCAGACTGTGACACAGAGACCCTGTACATCACATCACTATTATTCACACAAACAGAAAATCTTCCTCTTGGAGACAAACGGGTCAAAGGCATGGGCCGTAGTCGCATGAGAGCCATTACAAACATCCAGGGTGAGTTTAGCCAACCTTTCCCAATCAAGCAGAAGTGCAGTTTCAGTGGAAAGCTCTGGAGAGGAAAGGAAAACAGTGCTTTACCTCTCAGTCTAGGAGTTTGTATGATAAAACTAGCTCCAAAATAAAGATTAAAGACTATTAGGGACTATGTGGGTTTGAAAAGAAGTGCACGTTCACTATCCATTTAAATTTAAAGACAAATGCTGTGAATTAAAGTTGTGAGACAATTTTATTTAGACTTTCTTGCTTCCAAAATAAAACTGCTTATTTACAGGAGGATATCATTAAATTTTATTGAAGTTCAGTCATGACAACTTTGAGAGACTTAGTATGGTAAAAATATGTACATGGCAATGTTGATGTGTTTGGTCTTGGCAGCATAGATCTGCTATGCTAATGCTACTGCTTTGATTATTATGGCAGAACAAGTACCGAGACTTGCTACTGGCAGTAAACTCATACACTTGCAGTCTGAGAATATAACACACTGCTGCAAATATAATAAACATGAAACCCCCGTAGCTGATCTGAACACATGTGGAACTGGGGTGGAGGATGGTCTCAGAAAAGGCACTAAACATTGTTGGCATAAAACAACACTAAAGCATTTAAATTGTTTAGGAGCAAGCAACTTCACCTACATCATGTAGTTGTTGGTAGGAGCAGATTATGAAAGACCTATCAGCATGCGAGCACATGAGTTTCACAACAGAACTTTGTATGTGTTCGATTGTAGTTATTTAGAAAAAATCTGTAAATTAAGTGTTTCCTTGTATAATGCATAGTTAGTTACATTATTAAATGTGTTTGATCACAATAATTTAGGAAAAACCTGAAAAAATGGTTTACTTTAAAGTAAGAAAGAGTAAAAAAAATCTAATTACAAAAACCTAATATTAAAGTCAAACATCGTTATTATTTATTAAAAAAATATATATATTTTTTTTTTCTATAAAACTAAATTAACATATTTAAATGTTTTATTATTGGTTTTATTGCACTTTATCACTTTATTTCAATAAAATATTTCGCTGTAATTTTATAGTTTTTGTTTGGCAACCATAGTAGCCTGCTTGTTATTTGACATATTTATTACTTTTACTTACTATATATATATATATATATATATATATATATATATATATATATATATATATATATACACACACTCAACAGTATATAATTATATATTGTGCAGCTAAATAATTCAAATTAATAAACTTAAGGGCATGACAAACTACTGTAGTAATTCAATGTTGATTGACACAATTTTTCTACAATTTTTTGACACAGTCTTGTTTGATTTCAATGAATGGATTTCGTACAAATGCTTTTGATATTTTTAACATGAATAGTGAACATCTAATTCCAAATAGCGAATCAATGAAGACGTGTATTAGGCTTGATATTAACTCTTTTTATTTCAGTTGAACATTGGAACATTAATAGAAAAACCACCTCTATTTCAGACACAAGCAATTAATGGTAATGAAAATAAAATTTGTAATAAAGACTTATTCACATCTTTTCAGAATAAAGATTGAATGGACAATTTTGATTAGAAAAAAAATGTTATTTTATTCCTCTACCTTAATATTTGGATAAAACATTTGTATTGTGTTTACTTACTGTTTTAAGTCATGGCCAAGGACAATTTACAATGCTTTATTTTAACCTATTTAAAAAGGACTTAAGTAATATCTATATTAAATAATAACTTTTATTGCATTTAAAAAATGTATTATCAAATTTATTTATTAATGCAATTTATATGTTCATCATGCAAAATAATTTTATTACACATTACACATTAAATAATGACATTAATCATTACAATATGTAAAAATCAAATGCAATTAAAATAATGCACTACACTTGTTTTTGTAAAATAGTCAGAATTTTTAGCTCCTCTTTGAATTGTTTTCTTTTTTTCTTTTTTCAATGTTCTCCAAATGATGTTTAATGGAGCAAGGACATTTTCACAGTTTGTCTGACAATATTTTTTCTTCTGAAGAAAGTTTTATTTTTTATTTCGGCTAGAATAAAAGCAGTTTTTCATTTTTGAAACACCCTTTTGGGGACAAAATTATTAGCCCCTTTAAGCTATTTTTTCCTCAACTGTCTACAGAACAAACCACTGTTATACGATAGCTGGCCTACTTACCCTAACCTGCCTAGTTAACCTAATTAAACTACTTTAAGCTGTATAGAAGTGTCCTGAAAAATATCTAGTCAAAGATTATTTACTGTCATCATGGCAAAATGATAAAATAAATCAGTTATTAGAAATGAGTTATCAAAACTATTATGTTTAGAAATGTGTTGAAAAGAATCTTCTCTCCGTTAAACAGAAATTGGGTTAAAAAATAACCAGGGGGGCTATTAATTATAAATAAAAACATTTTTATTTGACATGATTACAAAACTATAACTGTGGTAGGGCTGGACGATATGGCAAAAATGCAATCTAGATAATTATTTTTTCATATTAAACAGTAAAAATATACATTTCAATATAAGATGTTAACCCAAGAATGACTGAAGCCGCCAAATGAAAATATATAAAATATCAACAACTTCTGATACTAACTTTTAGATTCCCATTGTTGCACATTTCTGCTATGTGATTGGCTCTCTAGATCAATCAAGAGTAAAGATGTCCAGAGCTTATCATTGTTTTTGACATTTTATTGTGATTCGATGTTATATGGTTCATCGGCCTAGCCCTAAACTGTACAATTAATTGTACCTAAACTGCATAATACTTTTTCAATATTATATTACCCGTGAGAACAGTTAGGATACACATTTAATATTTGTAGACAACTACAAGAGAACATTCAATGCAATTTAGAACTCTCAAAACGGCCTAATGTACAGGCATGGTTTAATTGATGGCTTGCACTTCTTAAACAATGTTTATCCACCTCAAAGAATTATATATTATTAAAATGCATAATGCAAGTTCCTTAAAAGGCAAACCTATACTGTAAATTACCTCACATAGAAAAACAACAAAGCTCAAGTACAGACAAATACTACAAATACTAGGAACAGTTACTACAAATACTACAAATACTAGTTACTACAAATACTAGGAACAGTTACTACAAATACTAGGAACAGTTAGCATTACTGTAAACAAACTGTAAGTAACATAACTGTAACGTTATGTTATCTTAAAAGCTGATTTGTAAAAACAAAAACGAACAGATTATATTATTGAATGTATTAGTAATAGTAGTAATAACAACAACATATAAAAACATTAAGTAACGTTATGTCTACATCTGGTGTGAGAGTTTATAGTCAATTATCACGTTTTACTTCATTCAAAACTGTTAACGTTAACTGACGCAACATTAACATTAGCTAAATTTAACGATGGCAGAATCGACTAGAACACGTGTTCAAGGATATTTACGTAAATGTACTTACTAAAGCAATTCCTTATGTAATGCCGAGTCAGCATGCAGAGTATTGTATATTGTGCACTGTTTGCAAATAGGGCTAAAGTGCATTTGGGCTAACATCTGCTGGCTAGCTTGGTTGCCTAACGTTAGCTAGAGAGTAAGGTTGCTACAACGAAAGATAAAATCTAGGAATATTGTCTACTAAAAACATAATTATGTGCATTAAGGGACTGCTTTCATGGGTTAACATCACAACAAAACAAATAACACTCACAGCCTGCAGTTCAGTTCTTCAGACGGGATAGACCTGTATGTGACACAGACGAGTTATGTTGGAGAAGGCGAGCTTGTCTAATGTCTTAAAGAGACAGGCAGCGACAAATATAAGTTACTGTACTGCTCTGGACTTTCACAGTGTTATGAGGGTTGTTGACGTTGCATTTTCAGTGTAACAACTGACAAATATGAATATAATTAGTATTGTCATCATTCTAAATGCAGCAAATTGTTTTTATTCATTTTCTTCCATGGACCTTTATAAAAATTACTGCATTCCCTAATAAAAAAAAAACAGCTTAAACCAGCCTGGACTGGTTGGCTGATTTTAGCTGGTTAACAAGCCTGGTTTTAGAGAGGTTTTGGCCATTTTACATTTATATTTATGTAGGGGTTTTATATTCACACATTCGTCCTATATTGTTTACCATGGTACTTTGAACATTCAGACTGAACTCTCGTGTAAATATGACGTCAAAACAATATTAGGACTATTTTATTGACTGTGAACAATGTTCTATTTTGATAGTCACTGGCTGCTAACATGATTTCATTAATAGGGATTTGCAAAGAATTCTTTTCTGAAATTATTAAAGAAGAAAGTCCAAATGTGTGAATATAAAAACGAACTCCACCTCAATCTATAGTGTGATTTTCTTAAGTACAGTTTAATATATCACTACTTTTATAAATTAAAAATAAAATCATAAATTAATTAATTCGTTTGTTTTCTTTTCAGCTTAGTCCCTTTATTATTAACCGTAATGAACCGCCAACTCAACGATCGGGTTGTCAAGGTCCTAAGCTTATACCTCCACCCGTTCCACAATGCACCAGCCCCTTATGGCTCCCTTAGTGGGTGGTGGGCCTGCAGGAGGATGGTGCCACATTGCTCCTTCGGGCTGAGCCTGGCCGGGTTCTGTGAGATAAAACCCAGCCACCAGACCCTGGCCTGGCTCCAGGGTGGGGCCCCAGCTGCACCATACCGGGTGGCGTCACGGTCCTTGCTGTTGTTGTACTCAAAAGGGATTTTTGAACCGCACCTAGTCTGACTCCTCACCTAAGACCTTTTTGTCTTGGGAGAGCCTACCAGGGGCTTTAGCCCAGGGGACCACAGGGTGTGCTCCAACTATAGGGGGATCACACTCCTCAGCCTCCCTGGCAAAGTCTATGCCAGGGTACTGGAGAGGAGGATCCGGCCGATAGCTGAACCTAGGATCCAGGAGCGTCAATGTGGTTTTCGTCTGGGCCGTGATAAACTGGGCCAGGTCTATACCCTCACCAGGGTGCTCGAGGATTCATGGGAGTATGCCCAACTTGTCCACATGTGTTTTGTGCACTTGGAGAAGGCATTTGACCGTGTCCACAGTGGCATTCTGTGGAGGGTGCTCTGGGAGTATGGGGTCAGAGGCGTTCTGTAAAGAGCTGTCTCGTCCCTGTATAAACAGAGTAGGAGTTTGGTTCGCATTGCCGGCAATAAGTCAAACCTGTTTCCAGTGCATGTTGGGCTCCGGCAGGGCTACGCTTTGTCACCAATTCTGTTAATAATTTTCATAGACAGAATTTCAAACCATAGCCCTGGGCTGGAGGGGGTCTGGTTTGGCGACCACAGGATTTCATCTCTGTTATTCGCAGACTATGTTGTTCTGTTGGCTTCATTGAACATGGACCTTCAGCATGCACTGGGGCGGTTTGCTGCCGAAAGTGACGCAACTGGGATGAGAATTAGCACCTCCAAGTCCGAGGCCAAGGTGCTCCACTGGGAAAAAGGTGATTTGCCATGTCCAGGTTGGAGAAAAGTCTTTACCCCAGATGAAGGAATTCAAGTATCTTGGGGTTTTGTTCACGAGTGAGGGAAGGATTCCAATGGTCATGAGCTTTGGGTCATGACCGAAAGGACAAGATCTCGGATACAAGCAGCCAAAATGAGCTTCCTTTGCAGGGTGGCAGGGTGCACTCTTATAGATAGGGTGAGGAGCTCTGTCACCCAGGAAGAGCTCAGAGTAGAGCCGCTGCTCCTCCACATCAAGAGAAGTCAGCTGAGGTGGCTTGGGTATCTGTTTCTTATGCCTCCTGGACGCCTACCTAGGGAGGTGTTCCAGGCATGTCCTACTGGGAGGAGGCCTCGCGGAAGACCTAGGACACGCTGGAGGGACTATGTCTCTCGGAGCTGAAAGGATGTCTGGGGTTCTGTCCTAAGACTGCTGCCCTCGCTACCCGGCCACGGAGAAGCAGTAGAAAAAGAATGAATGGATGAATAATCGAAATTTATAAAACAATACATTTATTTGTTAACACCACTGTGTTTTCCTCAAATTGACTTTTGCTATGCTTGCTGCTTTCCATTTCTTTGCAAGTGGTCAGAGTCTTTGCCAAACATAGTGTGCAACATGCTTCCCACAAACATTAGGAATGCTGGTTCCTTGGACTGTTTTACTTTCTTGTAAGCACTTTGGGTCTTAAAAAAGCGTGTTATAAATAAAATGTATGATTATTATTATTATTATTATTGTTAAATTATAACAGTTTTTATTTTTGATGAACAACCCTTAACCTGTAAAGCCCACTGTCAGTGAATTACAACATCACTTTTAACAATTTTTTAAAAAAGGCAAGCGATTTATTTTTTTTTTCCTCAAAACCACATTTACATCATTTATGGGTACTATTGTGTGTCCTCACGATGCAATTGGATAGAAAAGGGGTTTATTGGTCTGGTCATCCTGCTATGAACTTACTCTACCTGCAGTCTTCGCATTGAGCTGATCTGTTTTTGCACGTCTGGATTTGTCAAGATTTAAATTAAAATTCCTTCAAAATTTGTTGTGTGTTTATTACAATGTCTAGAACACAGACAGTTGAAGTCAGAACTATTAGCCCCCCTGAATTATTAGTCCCCTGTTTACTTTTCCCCCGATTTCCATTTAACAGAGAGTTTAATAATTTTATTCTAATTCAAATTCAAATTTAATTCAAAGTCATTTCTAATAACTGATGTATTCGATCTTTGCCATGATGAGAGTAAATAATCTTTGACTAGATATTTTTTCAAAACTCAACTAGGATTAACTAGGCTAATTAGATTAACTAGGTAGGTTAGAGTAATTAAGCAATTGTATAACGATTGTTTGTAGACTATCAATTATATATATATATATATATATATATATATATATATATATATATATATATATATATATATATATATATATGTATATATATATAGCTTAAAGGGCCTAATCATTTTGACCTCAAAATGCTTTTGTTCTAGCTGAAATAAAATATAAGACTTTTTTTCAGAAGAAAAAACATCTGACATAACATGACAATTCCCTTGCTCTGTTAAACATCGTTTGGAAAATAAATAAAAAAGAAAAACAAATCAAGAAAACTATTGCACAAGAGTTTTTTTTAGACAAGTTATTAGCTGAATAGGGACCTTTAAGACGTGTTCATTTACACTGATGGCGAAGCATCTTTTCTACTTCAACAAAGCTTTTCAATACGAAGTAGTGTGAGGACATCTAGTGGTCACAACACAAACCAACACAGATAACGATTGATTCCTGCAAACCAACGTTTCACTTTCCGTTCAACACAAGATGTATTTGTTGTTGTATAAAAAACAAACTCATTAGTCGGGTGGCTTAGTTTAGTAAGAGCACAGACTGGAAACACGAGATTTAATAAACTACACCAATAAAACCTAATATCATATACTTAATGTGCAGTTAATTAGGTATGAACATAACTTCGGCAGCTCCATTATGCTTTATTATAATAATGAAATCCCACCAGGGAACAACATCCACTTCAGTACCACGTACCAGTGCCAAACAAGCGTCATATGCATTTTTTCACATCGTATTAAATTGTATAACATATGTGATAAGCCACCTGCTTAATTCGTTGATACACATCATTCGTACGGCTAGCTTCTTCTATACTTTAACATTTCCATTCATTTATTAATCTATTTTTTACCAGGTTAGGGGGTGCACCGTTCCCGGAGGTACTGCAATACCGGGTCGATGCGTGGAGTGGACGGAGCAAGCCCCTATTCCATCTCCCTGTTCCAAAAATCAATTTAATATATGGTGCCCGGGTAGGGCACGTATCAGATATTAAACTGATAAGAACAGATACTACACTTGATCTTAGCCAAAAGGCCGAGAAGCGATAACTATTATATAATAGAAAATGGGACCGGACTCTCCGAGACTGTAATCAGAATAACGGTAAGTATATAATTGTTTTCATTTATGCACTGAAAGCTGCTAATTCACGATTATATGAAATTTAACGTGTACTACAACTACTTACATTCACATTAGCTAGTACTTAGGCTTTAAAATGTACTCCTTTCTTCGACAAGAACTGACTGGAGGCGTGGATATTATAATGAGCTACTGCGGTTTTCCAATCAGAAGCATGGATAACGTTCGCGGAGTGTTAAACAATAAAACGAACGCCATTACTGAACAAATCATATTGAGATTAACACAAAAGCACGTATAATAAGTCAGCGGGGATAAACCTTTACTGAATTTACGAAAATAGCGTAAAATAAAGCAATTACTGTTTAAGTACGGAAAAATATGACATCTGGTGGACAAATGAAGAACTGTAAGCTAGGAAAAAAAGACATCTTACCACTGGCTCCTCCGACAGGGGTGTTACTTGCTAAAACGAGATGCTTCGAGGGATGTCTGTGAATAAAACAACGTTTTAACTAAATAATTACATACTTTGTGCAGTGTAAGTTCCGAAACAATGTTGTTTGTTCGGTTGTACTTAAAAATTCCCTTAATTAGCCTAAGTATTGGAAGTGCATGCAATCTCAAATCCATCAATGCATTCCTACCACATTTTGAAAAGCATGTTTATTGTTAAAATAATGTGTAGTTGTATTATACATTAATTGGATAGCTAATATACATGTTACCACATAAATCTCATTCACAACTATCAATTTCTTAGCTACTTTAGTCACTATAAGTGGATTCCTTGTTCTCTTATTTACACTTTTTAAGGATAGTGGAATTGTGACTAATTTGGATTTGTGAAATATGAGTTCAAGTACAG